TCCAGGGCCACCGTTCCGGCAGCCTGGGCTCTGCCTCCGTCTGCCTCAGTGTCCTCATCTATATATTTTGATCCGCCAGCTCTTCTTGCAGGGTGGGCGTGGGCCGAGTGGAGAAAGCAGAGGTCAACACCTTCTGCAGACTCCACATCTCCCAGAGGTCTTGCCCCTGTCTCCTGTCTGCAAGCTTTGGTCTTTCTCTGTGATCGCCTCCCCTGACAATTTCCTGGCCCGCTTTGGTCCTGAGGTTGGGGAGGGGCAGAGAGGGCATGGGGGTACAGAGACCCAGGGACGGGTCCGCCACGAGCAGAGTAGCTTTAACTTTTCTCAGACCAGCCACATGATGCTGGTGGGGTGCTCACGCCCGGGAGGGAGGAGGGTGGTGGTGATTGTCCCAGGACAGGTGAGGTCTCTGGGGCAGAGAGATGTCGGGATTGGCGTAAGATCACCTGGCAGAGTTGAGACTGGAACTGAGGGCCCTGCCCTGCCCTAGGCTTGCTCCTGTGGCTCCCAAGTGACAAGTACTGACCCCCTCTGTGCTAGTCTGAGGTCTGGAGCTCTCAAGGCAGCTCTTAGAGCCTTGCCCAGATAAGGGCCTGGGGCCCGGACCAGGCCTAGAGACTGTGTGTGTGTCGCTGTGAGCTGAGACAGCAGGATCCACGGTGCCCAGAAATGAACGCGTGGCTGACAGTGCTGCCCTGGTGTCCTGTCCCATCATGGGGGCTGCGGGCGGCCAGTGGAGGCTTCTGGGCAGGTGACCTTTGGGCTCACCTGGAATGAGAAGGAAGGGTTCCCGGAGGCCCCGGGCAGAAAGGTGGCAGGCAGGGGAACAGCCACCAAAGCAGGGTGGCCAGAGAGGCAGCTGGACCCCAGGCACGTTTAGAAAGCTGTGTCCACAGCCCTGCCGAGGGTCAGGTCAGATGAGAAAGGCAAGGCGAGGAGGAGCCAAGGACCTTGGTCAAGCTTTGGGGACTTGGGCATCTTCCTGGGATCTCCAGACAGGTTTGGGGCAGGACAAGGAGTTGAGCGCGAGGACCGGTATTGCATTTGTGGGCTGTGTTGTGGGTGTAGACACTTGTGACTGGGTGGCCTTTGAAGGCCCTCCAAGGTGGAGTTCAGGCCCTGGCCGGATGCTCTGAGGTTGCCGCCCAGGAGCCCGGCTCCTCACCACCCACTGCCATGTGGTCTGGCCCAGGTAGGGTGTCCATTTAAACTTGATCTTTTCCTCACATGTAGCCCCACCACCACTAGGGCCACCCCAGATGCCCTCTGTTCCCCTTTCAGCCTGAAGACCCTCCTTTGACTCAGCCCTATCGCCCGTCAACTCCACACACCCCGCTGACTCTCATTCCGGGTGAGCCCAACCATGACCTGTCCAGAGGCCTCCCCTGACCGCCCGCAGCCCCCATGATGGGAGCAGGACACCAGGGCAGCACTGTCAGCCACGCGTTCATTTCTGGGCACCGTGGATCCTGCTGTCTCATCTCACAGTGACACAGGCACAGCCTCTGGGCCTGGCCCAGGCCCCAGGCCCTTATCTGGCTGCCTTGAGAGTTCCAGACCTCAGACTAGAACAGAAGGGGTTAGTACTTGTCACTTGGGAGCCACAGGAGCAAGCCTAGGGCAGGGCAGGGCCCTCAGTTCTCCAGTCTCAACTCTTCCAGGTGTAGATCCTACGCCAGTCCCGACACCTCTCTGCCCCAGAGACCTCACCTGTCCCGGGACGATCACCACCACCCTCCTCCCTCCTGGGCCTCAGTTTCCCCATCTGTACATGGGGCTGTGAGAATCCTCCCTGTTTAGTGGGATGGTTGTGAGGATTGTCGTGTGGAGAGAGCAGAGCACAAGCCTGCCCCATCCTGGGGCTGCACACGCTTGGGCCACCACCGTTCTGTCCTGCTGTCTCCTGGGAGCCACAGCCCGAGGTGCGGGCCCGGCTGTGGGAAGGCCGGCATGCTGGTCCAGCCAGTTGTCCACAGGTCTGCGGCAAGGCCCTAGTGTGTGTCTGGCAGAGACAGAACAGCAGTTGTTTTAGTTGGACAAATATTTCTTGGGTGTCTACCCTGAGCTGGGTGCCTGGAATATGGTAGTGGCTGAGCTGTGCGATCACTGAGGGCCAATGGGAAGCAGAGGCCTCCCAGGGTCAGGCCCATCCATGGCCCAGGTGGCTACTTCAGAAACGCTGACGCAAGGCGTGCACAGAGGAGCAGAAATGAGCTTGCCAGGCTTCTGGTGTCCACCTCCCTGCTCTGCAGGGACTGTGCTGGAGCAAAAGCTGAGCTCTTTTTGGTGGCTTGCAGGGCTCTGTGTGGTCTGGCCCCAGGATCTCTGACTTGGCTTCCCAACCCTCACCCCCGGCTTGTTCGGGCCCAGCCACTCTGGCCTCCTTGCTCTTCCTTCAACCTCCTATCCCAGGGCCTTTGCACATGCTGTTCTCGCCAGTGGATGGCTCATACCCCACATCTCCTTTGGGGTCCCTGTATGCCCTCTTTACAGTGGCAGCCTTGCCCCTCCCCACCCACCCCTCTGCTGTGTAGTGATCCTTGGTGCCTGTCAGCTTATCACCTGTGATGTATGTATGTATGTATGTATTTAGAGACAGGGTCTCATTCTCACCCAGGCTGGAGTGCAGTGATACAATCATATATCACTGCAGCCCCAAACTCCTGGGCTCCAGTGATCCTCCCGTCTCAGCCTCCCAAATAGCTGGGACCATAGGTGTGTACCACCATGCTCAGCTACCCTTTTTTTTTTTTTTTAGATGGAGTTTTGCTCTTGTTGCCCAGGCTGGAATGTGATGGTGCGGTCTCGGCTCACTGCAGTCTCCGCTTCCCGGGTTCAAGTGATTCTCCTGCCTCAGCTTCCCAAGTAGCTGGGATTACAAGCACCCGCTACCACGCCCAGCTAATTTCTGTATCTTTAGTAGAGATGGGCTTTCACCGCGTTGGCCAGGCTGGTCTCGAACTCCTGACCTCAGGTGATCCGCCCGCCTTGGCCTCCCAAAGTGCTGGGATTATAGGAGTGGGTCACTGTGCCTGGCCAACTTTATTTTTATTTTTGTAGAGACTGGGTCATCATGTTGCCCAGGTTGGTCTCCAGCTCCTGGGCTCAAGCGATCCTCCTACCTCTGCCTCCTAAAGTGCTGGGATTACAGGCATGAGTCACCGTGCCCGGCCCCTGTATTATTTATGATTATGTTACTTATTATGTGTCTTCCTCGGTAGGTAAGATCCATGAGGAAGAGTTTCATCAGTTTTGTTCACTGCTGCCTGCCCTGCAGCCCAAACCCTGCTGGAACATAGTAGGCCCTTCATGAGCCTGGGGTAATTAAATGGCCAGGTTAGGTAGGCAGCTCCCTTGGTGACCGGGTCAGTCTCAAAATAGCCTCTTCTCTCTGCTCGCCTGTCCTGGGTGAGTTGAATTAACCCCAGCAGGTGGGGAGCCAAGAACCACATCCCTTGCTGTGCAGCCAGAACAGGCGGCAGTGGCCACAGCTAGGCCTTGGCCAGGGTGGCAGGCACAGTCCACAGAAGGACAGTCAGGCCCACAAGGAGGGGGCAGCAGGGCCGGTGCGGGGGCGGGGCTGCAGGCATGAGGGGAGTGGGGCTGGGGAGCCCTCAGCTGGGCCTGGCAGGAACGGGGAAAGGGCATCGGTCAGAGGGAAATGCCTAGGCGATGGCAGATGCAGGAAGTAGCAGGTGTGTGGGTGGAGCAGAACGAATGGCTGTGGCTCAGGACCTGCAGGCCTGGGCCCCAGCGTCATCTCGGCCTGCTGTGTGACTTGGATCCCTGGATCTCAGTAGTTCCTCCTCTGGAAATGGGGAGATGAATTGTAGCCATCTCCTGAGGCTTTGGAGAGAATCAAAGGAGAGACCAAGGGCCAGAAAGCCTCCTTGCTGCCGTTGGCCCCGGTTCCGGTGGCCCTGGACTAGTGGTTGGACCTCTTGGCCTGTCAGCCTTCCCCTCGTGTCACCCAGCGCAGGCTTTAGGGGCAGATTCTCTGGGGCTTTGAAGTTAAAGCACGTGAAACACAGCGTGCTTTTAAAGAGTGGAGAAAGACACGTGGCGATGAATGTCTTCTTTTAGTGCCAGCGTGTTGAGTCTCCCACCTTGGAACCTTTGCCCTGGCCATGCCCCTGCACCACCTTCCTGGCACTCCCCTCTCAACTCAGAGGCTTTGGGGAGAATCAAAGGAGAGACAGAGGGCCACTGAGCTGGGCACGGTGACTTCCCCTCCATTGGAGGGGCCTCCCTGACGGCCCCCTCCCAGCTTGTTTATTTCATTCACACACTTGGCGCTCCCTGAAACTAGGAACCTCAGTGTTGTCCTAGACTCCCCTTTCCCTGCTCGACCACATCCGAGCCATCAGTAAATCCTGCTGGCTACACTTTCAGATACCATCCAGTCAAAACACTGCTCCACACAGCCACACTGCCCCCGCCCTGGTCTGTGTTCCGTCTTCACCCTCTGGGCTCCCTGCCCCTGCTCCCCATCCGTTCTCCCCACAGTGGCAGCAGAATCCGTGAATCGCATCCGTCCCTTTGCTGAGGGGCTTCCAGTGGCGCCCAGCTCAGAAGGCTTAGGAGGCTCTGCAGGACCTGCCCTATCACCTCCCTGCCCCCATCTCTGCCCTTCCCCTCACCCACCCCACTCCAGCTGCCCCTCATTCAGGCCCACTCCCGCCTCAGAGCCTTTGCACTGGCTGTTCCCTCTGCCCAGAACACCGTTCCCTCAGGATGGCTGGTGCCCTCTCCTTCCTGTCTTCACCTGCCCCCATTCCCTGGCATCCTACACATCCACTTGCTTTTCATGTTTATTCTTTCTCCCATTTCGGTTTCATGGGGGTAGGACTCCTTGTCTGGCTTGTTTGCTGCTATATTCCCAGCATCTGAAACAGTACCTGGGGCTCAGGAAACATTTGGTGGATGGATAAGTGGATGGGTGGGTCGATGGATGCATGGGTAGGTGGACAGGCAAACAGATGAGACACTGAAAACTGAGGTTAGGAAAAACTTCAGTTCATTGTTTGCCCAGCAGGAGTTTGGGGTGGACTGGTGAGCTCCAGGCCTGGCAGGCCTGGTGGAGTGTGAAGACGCATTTGTTACTGTCTCCCGTGTCCAGCGTCATGGACTGTGCCACGGGCCTCTGATCTTGCCTGCTGCATCTCGGTCAGGGTCCAGCAGGTGGTCCTGATGCGTGGCACAGCGCTGCCTCTCTTGTCTCTTCATGCTCTGCCTTAGTCGCAGATTTGCTGAGCCCTGTTCTGTGTCCAGTGCTGGGTCCTGGGGCCAGATCCGGGGGTGTAGTGGGTTGGGGATGCAGAGAGCAGGGCTACAGAAGGGGTGGTAGGGCTCTGGGATGCTAAGACTGACGTAGTAGCAGAGGTTCAGGTGTTCTAAGCACTACTGTAAGCATGTCACAGAGGTTACCTCATTTAATTTCCCACACCACCCTATGAAGGACATTTTATTGTATCCCCACTTTATGGATGAGGGGACTGAGGCGCCGAGAGGTTATTCAGGATTTAGCTGTAGCAGTTGAATGGCCCCCAATGCCTGTCCCTCCACCCCAGCCTCTGCACCTGAGTCCACTGGGATGGGAGTCAGCCTAGGCTTACTTGTCTCCACAACCCCCAGGATGTCATGACCGGGCCGTCCTGCTCTATGAGTACGTGGGCAAGCGGATCGTGGACCTGCAGCACACCGAGGTCCCAGATGCCTACCGTGGGCGCGGCATCGCCAAGCACCTCGCCAAGGTAGGGTAGGCAGGCGGCAGGGCCAGGCGGGAGCGGGGACGTGGGGGCTGCCACCCTCCCTCAGAGGAGACGGTGGCCCTGGTGGCCAGTTCCGCCTGCTTCTTGGCCCTGGATCCTCTCCGGGCCGGTGGCAGCCTTTCTGGGCCCAGGCTCCTGTTCAAGACCCTGGCGTGGCTGAGCCTCCAGGATCCTTACACACCTCCTGTGTGGCAGGTGCTTCATGGGAGCCCCATTCCCGCCCCCAGCCCCTTCATCCTCAGGGAATCCCAAATCCCAGGCTGTCTGGAGAGAGGTTTGGGCTTGGGGAAGGGAGTTACAGCCAGAGCAAAGCAGGTCCTGAGGGCTGCTGCTGGGACTTAGCTGGGCCGTGGGCAGGCTTCCCTCCTCCACCCCCACCCCGCCAGGAGAATTGCAGGGCAACCTTTGCCCTCCGTGCTGTCTGGGGCTTGGGGGCTTGTACCTCCCCGGGGAGACGTGATGTGTTTTTCCCTTGTGTACTGGACCAGTCTGTGGGGATCATCCCAGGTGATGCTGAAACAAGAGAATTACTGAGCAGGGCAAAGCGGGTGGCCAGGGAGCCGGGACCTGGGGAGGGAGCAGATGATGCCACCTTTCTGGTGCCGGCTGCAGGCCCTGACCACTCTCCTCTCTGCCCGGCTCCCAGGCCGCCCTGGACTTCGTGGTGGAGGAGGACCTGAAGGCCCATCTCACCTGCTGGTACATCCAGAAGTACGTCAAGGAGAACCCCCTGCCGCAGTACCTGGAGCATCTGCAGCCGTAACCCTGGCCTGCAGGCGGGAGCGCCCACTGCCGGACTCTTCCACGTGGCCTTTGCCCGGCCCTACGTGCTCTCAGGAACCTGGTCCCACTGGGAACAGACTCAGAGTTATTTTTGTAAGGACACTTATCTGTGCTCCACGTCCAGATCCCTGGAGGCCGCTGACCAATGATGGGCGGTGACCCGGTAACTGAGGCGGCAAGGAGGCCGGGTCGTCCCGGCAGCTCCCTCTCTGCAGAGACCAGCAGCTTCGTGGGAGGCCTGTGGGCCGCACTAGGGGGCTAGAGCCAGCCTGCATCCCGCCCGCCGGGTTCCACGTGGAGATCAGCAGGAGGGCCAGTGCGGGACCCCTGCTGCCACCTCTCCTGGGCCCGTGTCCTTTCTGGAAATTAGGAAGGTGTGCCCCAGAGCCAAGAGGAGCAATAAGAAACCTCGTGTGCCAGCTTCTGAGGGTGGCAGCGCCAGACCCCACCTGCCACCAGCGCTACCCCTTTCTCAGACCCCCATCCCCAGTACAGGCAGGGTCCTGGAAGGGAGCAGCTCTCGCTGACGGAAACCAGGAGACTGAAGGACGGAGCACTGGCCAGGCTCAGTTGCACGTGCGGTTCACACACGTGAACACACAGGATGTGGTCTACAGGCGGGCTGGTGGTGGGTGCCGTGGGTGTTTTCCTCTCCTTGGTACCCCCACCTTTTTTCTGGCCTCTCGTGTAGGTTCTGCAGGAAACCAAGACCCCATCCCCCTGGGCTGCTGTCCCCTGTACCCCTGTCTGCTGGGAGCAGCTCCAGGGGGGCCTGAGCAGCTGCAGACCTGCCCCTTGCTGGCCTTGGCCACCTGCCTGAGCCTTCTCCGAGAAGATGCCTTGGAGCTGGGGTGGGAGAGAGGCTGACTGTTCTCCAAAAACGTCATCAGCATCCAAGAGGAAGAAACATCCGACACGGGTTTCTGTGCTGCTGCCAGACATCAGTGTCCTCTTTTGGGCTGGCTAAGCTGGATACACTCTGCTGCCCATCCGGCCCTGGGCTCCTCCCCAACCCAACCTTCCTGGGTGCAGTCCAGGAGACACACCAGCACACTTTGGTGGGACCAGCCTTTCCCGGGCATGCTGGCTTCCCCTGGGGGTGGCTCAGGTCCTGCCCTCTTATGTCAACTCTAACAAGGGTCAGATTCGTCCCTGCTCCTCTGTAGAGCTGGAGGGTGACCCTGGAGCCAGGGGCCCTTTAGGGCTGAGACATTGGTTAGTCAACACCACGTCCCTTGGGAGTGATGCATTCCCACCAGGCTTCGGGGGGTGTCAGGCTGGGCTCTGGGCAGTACAGGGAGAGGTCGACTGCCCCGGTGCAGCGGCCGTGGTTGCCATGGTGACTCCTCCCTCTGACTCCATGCGCAGGCGCTGGCTGGCCTATGGTTGCATTTTCCACTTACCTCCTTGCTATCCCCAGTCTTGGCACCGAGACCCCCCGCATTCCTTCTCCAGCCACAGCAGCTCAGGGGTCTTCCTGCCTGGACACAGGACCATGGAGACCTGCATGTGCAGGGAGGCCTGGCATTCTGCCGATGGGGGTCCTGGAGTCCCAGAGTCTCCTCGAAACCCCTGCTGTGGGTCACAGCGTGGACCAGCAGGGGTCACCATCCCAAGCACCCCCCACATCCCTGCCCCTTGCCCTGTGGCAGATGCTCCTGCCCTGGCCTCCAGGAATTTGGACCTTTTGCAGAGGGCTTGTGTGAGAGGTCGGAGGCAGGAGGTGGGCCGAGCTGCTCCGGGTCCCCTCCAGGGCTAGGGGTGGCCCATTGCTGGCAGAATTTAAGGAAAGAGGAAGTTGTAGGCACAGAGGATGGGCAGCCAGGCCTGGGCCTTCCCCTTACTGTCCCGGGGCAGCAGGGCTGGGGGCCTCCTTTCCCCTCCCTGAGGTCACCCCCTTCCCATGCACACGTCCCTCCCCACGTTCAAGCATGTAGTCCATCATGACCACCCAGGAGCTCAGTGAGCTGAGGCCGTGTCCCTGTGGCCTCCAGCCCACCTTGCAGTGGCAGTACAAGGAGGCCCCCACAGGAAGCCCTTGAGAGCCAGGAGGGAATGGGCCTGGCCCCACCCTGTTCCCACACTCACCTAAGATTCCTCCCCCTGTGTTCTAGCAGGTGACGCTCCATCTGGCCAGCCCACAACCAATACTTGAACCAGGAGGCTTGGGGTGGTGGAGGCCCGCAGAGGCCCTGGGCCCAGGAACCGAGGCTAGGGCTTTCTCAGGAGGCCTGATCCAAGCTCCCGCTGGTATGACCTGGCCTCGCCTCGGGCTGCCTTACATCACCGCTAACCCACGCCGGGGCTAGGCAGGGCTTCGTGGGACCTGGCCCAAGGTCTCCAGCAGAGCAATAACCGCATCTCCCCAGGTCGGGTCGCCACAGACACCCTGCCCTGGAGCCCCCAGCCCATCCCGTCTGGTGCTACCCTGTCTGCCTGGCAGCCCAGCCTCACCCCTCCCATCGGGTCACCTGGGAGTCCTTGGTAAGGATGTCACCACATGGGGTCGGTTTATGCATCTGGGCGAGAGCCAGAGTGGGGCAGGGGATGCTCGGGGGCCTGCAGGTCTCCCACAGAGCTGCTTTCCTGCCCGCGTCACCCTGTGGGTTTCTATTTTCTTGCCCGGTCAAAATAGGCAGTGACTCGTGCCTTCCCTCCTCAGGGCCCGTGGCAGGGTGTGGACCCAGCTGGCCCCGGGACCGCCCCCTTCCTCATTCTCCAAGCTCCTCAACAGGTCTCAGAGGAACGTTTCCGTAAAAGGTGTGGCCTGACTTGCAGTGCTGTCCCCACGCTGTCGCCTCCCCCACAGCAACCTGCTGGTCAGCCCTGTCCTTAACTGCTGGGGAGGTTGAGGTGGGAAGGGGGAGGCAGCCTTCCCTCCCTGGTATCTGGCCTCTCTTCTGAGTCCTCAGCCCAGCTTTCAGTGTGGAGAGCGAGACCCTGAGTGGCACTGGGGCTTGGCTGAGGTCTCCCCGCAGGATAACAGTGACTTCAGGACCCCAGACCCCAGTCTGGGCAGCTCTGCCTTTCCAGCTGGCCCAGCCCCCACATCACAGTTCCCTGCCATCTCCAGGTGCAAAAGGCCCCGAGGCCACAGCCCAGCTATGAAGCAGAGTGACTTCCTGGGGTTTCCTAGGAAGGGGCAGCGATGTCATGCGTGAGATCTGCTGTGCCATAAGAAGTCGCTCCTTTGGGATTTCTGGTCCACTGCAAGGAGGTGAGGCCCAGCCTCATGTCAACACATGCCCATCAAGGCAAGCTGTGGCTAATGCTTACAAAACAAGTGAAAATCTTGCACCAGGCCCAGGGCCACATCTCATTCCATGCCAGCTGCTGAGGGAGGGAACAGACTGCAAGACAATTTCTCCTAGTTCCCACTCAGGGTTTCATGGCTACTCAGAATGAAAGAGAAAGTGTCAGGCCCGTTGCAATCTTTTTTTTTTTTTTTTTTTTTGGAGATGGAGTCTTGCTCTGTCGCCCAGGCTGGAGTGCAGTGGTGTGATCTTGGCTCACTGCAACCACCACCTCCCGGGTTCAAGCGATTCTCCTGCCTCAGCTTCCCAAGTAGCTGGGATTACAGGTGCGTGCCACCACACCCAGCTAATTTTTGTATTTTTAGTAGAGACGGGGTTTCACCATGTTGGCCAGGCTGGTCTCGAACCCCTGACCTCCAATGATCCACCCGCCTTGGCCTCCCAAAGTGTTGGGATTACAGGTGTGAGCCACTTCACCCGGCCCCGTTGCAATCTTACTCCACTTTGTTTTCACAGCAGTCCCGTGACATGCCTATTATTAGGCCTATTTGATAGATGAGACTGAAACTCAATCAGGGGTCACAAGCCAAAGCCCATGCTACTTGAAGGGCTCAGGATCCAGCCCAGCTCCCGTCCTCTTGGTGGCATCGAGCTTGTGTGATACGAGGTCTTATGTCTGCTTGTGGTGACAGATGGCCTTGAAAGCAATAAACATAAAACTTCCAGCAACTTCCCACTCAGCTGCAAGCTTGCGAAGGGTCCTGCCTCAAGCCGTAAGGTGAGCGGCTAACCAGTGCTGGGCTGGTATGGAGAAGGCTGAATCGCCTGTGAGGCTGGGGTTGTGGGCAGGAATATTCACGGAGCCCCTGACCATACACTCACACTGCTCTTCC